CTAGTATGAACGAAAATAATCAAAGGTATCAATCGATACTTTGGTAAAAACTCCTTAAGTATCAAAGCGATACTTAAAACAAAACATAAAACAAAACCAAGTATCAAACGATACTTAAAACAAACCAAGTATCAAAGCGATACTTAAAACAAAACATAAAACAAAACCAAGTATCAAACGATACTTAAAACAAACCAAGTATCAAAGCGATACTTAAAACAAAACATAAAACAAAACCAAGTATCAAACGATACTTAAAACAAACCAAGTATCGAAGTGATACTTAAAACAAAACATAAAACAAAACCAAGTATCAAAGCGATACTTCAAACAAAACATAAAAACAAAACCAAGTATCAAATGATACTTAAAACTAACCAAGTATCAAAGCGATACTTAAAACAAAACATAAAACAAAACCAATAACCAAGTACCCGTACCGGTTACAGATACATCCAAACTGCCCAATAGCAATTGACCACATCTGTCTGGAAATAGCTGGTGAAACATGCCCTCATCAAATTTTTGACCACTGGCTCAATTCGCTTCATTGGGTAATTCGAGACAATGGTGGCCTGATTTATCGGACAAAAGACGTGGACCATTCATAGACCACTATTCTTTTTCGGTACAAATTTTATGCCGTGTGACCAAGGAGATTCTGATTGTACAATAATTCCTACTTTCTCTAGTAAGGGTAGATTTTTGTCTAACCAATCACGTTCTTCTCGCGTATAAATCTTGCCTCGCGCACACTTCGGCTGTTGGTTTGGATAAACTGAAATTCGATGTATGATCAAATCAGTACAGGGCATATTCTCGAGTTTACTTGTAAAGAGATCCTTCCATGTATATATCAGCCGCATTGCCTCCTCTCTTTCTTCCCTTTTCAACTTCTCCCCTAACTTTATTCCCGAGGTCTCAAACCACATGGAAATCCCAGTTGCTGAATTACTTAGTTCCCTCCAATAACTCACCGGCCTCCTTACCGTTGGGAACTCCAATTCATGTCCATATACCTCCATTTCCGCCAATTCCGTCTCATCCGTAGCACTTCCCATATCCACCCAATTTGCCTCCCCAAATTTGTCATACTCTTCAGAAACTTCTACTCCCTCCACGATATCAACAACTTGCTCCTCCACATAATCCTCCACTTCAGCCCCTTGCTGCCTTCTACCTGCACTGCTGTCTCTGCGTAATTCCAATGCATTCACCATACATGAATCTCGTCTGCTCTCTTTCCAATATCCTATTTCTCCATACAAGTAAATATCATCCCGTTCAAACACTTCAATCTTATCTTCAATCGATTCAGTAACTTCAGAATCCATAGTACATGCAGTTCTATCAACAGTTATCAGCTTCCCAAACAATTCACTACTATCATTATCTATCCCTATCCTATTATCATTCAAGCCATCGAAATTCGACAAATCAAAACGATCCAAATCTGCCGTATCTATTCTCTCCACAATACAAGCCGATTGGCCTGAACTATCAACCGGTGTAGCTAGTTTTCCGACTCCGCAGATAATGCACCCCCTTCACTTTTCCCCTCATCTTCCATCTGCTTCTCCACTTGCCGCTTGATCAATCCAATCAATTCCTCAAAGAAATTTCCTCCTCTTTTCTCCTGTAATTCAAGCTCCTCCTCTACCTCCAGTGATAGGCCATGCCTACCACCTTTCTTATCTCTCAAGATAATTGGTACACAGGGTTTCCTTCTTTCCAAACTTTCTCTCCTAACATTCTTGTAGCGTTCATCACTTAGTATTTGTACTCGAGCACCTTGACTGTCCATGATGTAATACCTGCCAGTCGCATAATCACCCTTGGCCTTAACTGCTTGAAGCCATCGCCTACTCAACAATAGAGAGTATGTTGGCTTGTATTCCTCTGGAAGAGCGTAAATATGGAGATTGCATGGGATGCCTACAATCGTGATCCGAATATCTGCACAGCAGGCAATCTTTGCTAGGGCATTCATTGCTGTTCAAATAACCATCACTCCAGCTTTCTTCATCTTTGCACCAACCAACCATAATAGATGAATCAGCATGAGGTTAACAACCGAGCCTGCATCAACCAAGATTCTAGAAATGCGATAACTGCCTTTCTCAGTCTTGATAATTCCCTTTGTATAGAAATTCACGACATCTCCCAAGTCTAGATCTGTGGCTACAGCCAGCGCCTCTTCCTCTCTAGGTAATTCTTTTGCTCCTGCTTGCAAGTCCATCATAACTTTCTTTTCCTTGTCTTTGCCCTTAGCCTGCTGAAAGCCTCTTGCCCGCTCTTGAACTAACAAATGACAAATATCCTTCTTGACTGAGGGTGCAAGATCAAACAATGAACCCCAATTCAGCCCGATTACTGGAGCATCCTGAAAGGCACCAACAAAGTCAAATTTCTTCTGACCTGCCATCATCCGAATTGGCCTGCATATATCCTTTGATACAGAAGCCTTAATCTTCCATTTTCCTGTAGTCAATTCTACAACCTCATCATCTTCAGTATCTCTTCATTGTTATTTGCTCGCAGGTCCGGCCTCCGCATCAAACATAAGTGGTAATTCACTAAAATGACAGGGTCACTCTCCAGCCATTACCGGAGCTCCATCTTCTTCATATACATCATCATCATCATCACCCTCATTGTCTTGCACCTTACGAAGAAATTCTGTCAAATCCGAAGACTCTACTTCAGTTCCAGTTACCTCACGAACCTTCATACCATCTAGTGCCGAGGACCGAGTAGCAACCTCTACTACATTAACTGGCTTGTCACCTTGGGCTAACGGTCTTTCCCTCGGTGTACAGGAGCGCTCTGGATGTTCTGATACAATAGCTGCTGACCTCGGTGCAGATTGATACCCCCATAATCTTTGACACTGCAGGCGTAAATGGCCTTCTTCTTGACAGTAGTAACATACCTGCTGGTGAGCTGGATAGTATAACAACCCAGTAGGTCCCACAATAGGCTGAGGTACAGAACTCTCCGGAGATGTAGGTCCTGCTTGATAAGGCTCTAGCAGTGCGGTTATATGTTGCGGGACAAACCCAGGTCCTGGCTGTCTAACGTGATCTGAAAAGCGAAGACTATCCATTGGCCTTCCACATCTGAGCTCTGTTGGCATACAATTGAAAAATGCCTGACCCCCTTGAGGTACTCGGCTATAGTTCTCCATTCGTGGTACCCGATTTCGTCGATTTGGATAATAGTTGCCTTGACCACTTCGACAGCTGGTGCTCTGATATCCTCACAAGTACTCTCTTCCCTGAGTGTATTGCCCATAGCCATCTGTAACAGCATAACTGTCAAGTGGAATGATTTCTGTCTCCTGCCGAGTGGCTACTGCACGTTCGGTATCGGCTGTTGTCTCTTTCTGCAGTTTCAACAAATCCCGCATCATCTCCTGTAACTCTTGAACCTTTCCTTGTACAGTATCCTGCTCGTCCTCGATCCCTTTACTGCTCTTGCTATTTCTGTACTGTGTCTCGCATTCTTTCTTGCTACTTGCCTTCTTTGCCTTCGCAGCTTTTCTAGGGCCTTTCCCCTTCTTCAAATAATGACAATACTCCTCGAACTCAGAGTCTGAGTCACTTGCTGAGTCATCTGAGAAACCAAACCCATCCTCATCACTCATGTCCTTATTATCCCAATTGCTAGACTTGTCGTAGCCTTTGATCTTGAGCTGCCGTGCCAGCCGCTTGACTCCTTTCACAACCTGATATGGGGTTTCTGGTGACCTTGCTCTGCGGAAGCTCACTGTTGCCATTTCAAGCAAACCGTTGTCTTTTGAGACCATTGATGTAGTAACCAATCAAGACGTCATCCAACTGTGGGACATCCGATGGCTTTCTTTAAGGAAGCTTGAGAACCTTTCGTGAATAGGAGAATACGTCCTGTTCTCCTTGTCTAACATTGCTCATAATTGAAAGGATCTCTCTGTAAGCTTGATCATCCAAGTATGTATCTTGGAATTGCTCTACAAATGCCTTCATGAATGCAGCCTCATCCCATAAAACCTCATTTGGAAGCTGTCTCAAAAAGGACCCTGCAGGAGATTTCATCAGGCAAGCCATATGAATTTGGGCTATACGGAGCCGTTTTGACTTCGTCATACTACCATTGAACTCTGGTCCCAATGTCACAAGCCAAGATTCCATCCAACTCAGAAAGGCTTCAACGCTAATCGAATCATCATCTCCCGTGAACTCCATACCAGGTGATCTTAGATAGTAATTCATTATTGATGAGACAACTGGGAAATATTCTGAATGAGAATCTGAACTACTTAACGGTGATAAAAATAAATTCTCTAGATCGGCCAGAGGAAAAAAATCTTGCCCGAAATGGAATTGCAAGTCACAGTTGTCCTTTCCCTCTACCACTTCTTTGGATAATGCCTCCGTTGTGTCGCTTGTTCTGATATCCAGCAAACAAATAATGCTTAGCAGGTAAGGTATGGTGAAGGGTTCAAAGTGTACCACCAATCCGTTTCAGAGCACCACTTTGTCAAGTGGGGGGTTTCTTTCCCTTTTCCTGGATGGTGGTTTGACTATGCACTGTGCCCTACCCGCTAACTCACTTTACCTTCATGATATACCTGAAAGTAATTGACTGATAATCGGGACTGGTGAGCAGTAATCAATTTCACAAATAATGCAGAGGAATCAAAGAAAGAAATGTAGGCTCAGTTCAGTAGAGATGAAAAGTTCTATTTCCCAGTGGTGGGTGTGTGTGTGTTCTCATTGTTGCTAAGAGAAAAAAAAGAAAGCTATAAGAAGAAAATCCTGCATGCCAAGCCCCCTCTTACACATGAAAAATATCCAGAGCCTCCTCCCCATCAAATACATGAAAGGCACCTCCAAATCAAGCAATTCTCCACACCGGTATATGTTTAGCAGATACTTCTTGGCAGACTTGAGGTTGGAAAGATGTTTGCTCGCGCAACAATGCGGATGGAGAAAGTGCCAGAAGTTGAGTTAGAAGAAAAGTAAAAGCATAAATAGTATCATATCATACTGAATGGAAAACAAAATATTTAAGATTAATCTCCTAAACGCTAAATCCCCAATCTCGTGTCTTTTGGGTTGAGAACCTGAGATAGAACCTGAGATTATCCAGCATCTAGGTTACCCCATCCTCACTATTCCCCCCATTCCCCAACCTGTACTTGCTAACCCTTTTACTTCGGTTACCCAATACAGGGAAAGCTTGACCTCGCGCGGATTGCTGCTTGGAGAATTGTGCTATGAGTTTGTCCAATCGATCAAAGACCAGCTTGTGGATTCATACTACACAGTGGCGTATCTAGATCGAAGAACCCCTATAAGCCCTCCACCTGGTCAATAGGCAGACTTCGTATAGAGAAAAGGAAACTCCGCTGTCGAATACTTTGGAGCCGGGAAGCTGACCATTTACAGTATCTAAAAGATTACTTTCTATCGGTCCGACTGACGGGGGCAAATAAGGTAGAGCCTCCCCACGCAATAGGCGTAGTTGTGTTGGAAGAGGCCCCAAAGATGTGGGAAGCATTCCCTGGGCGATTCTCCCCGATGTCACCACGATTGGCGAAAAGGCCAACTCCGGAGTTCTGAAATATCATATCAGCCTTCAGACTCGCTCCTAGAATAACCCCGAAGCGGCTTTGCGATGCTGCTGATATAACACGTGAGAGGTTGATGCTGTACCTTTCCCCCTGGATTCCCAAACAAATTTGGCCCATTATATCCCTGCTGGGGTGCTGCAACTGGTTCTTCAACTACCGATTCTTCACTTCCCTCCTGAGCACCACAACGGCTATCAGCGTCTATAAGACGCTTGACTGTTCCGATCATGAGATCCTTCACTAGTTTTCCTTCGCCGCTGAGCAAACTGGAGCCCGGCATCTCAAGAATCCACTCTATTCTTTCCACCCAGGCGTTGGAGACGATCTCCTGAAGTTCCCCCCACGCACAGCTGTCATTCATGTAGCAGTGACTGTAGGAGTATCGAAGTAATTCAACCATGTTTTCTGAGAACGTGGAGTCCGTCTGTTCAGCTTCAGCCCGACTCATACTCTCGAAGAGCCTTGCGAGGCATAGCTTTGCAAGGGTACCAATCTTCCGAGTCTTCGCAAGTATGAATAGCTCAGCATGGCCGAGCAAGACCCCTTCGTAGTCGAGAGACCCGGAATAAACAAGGCTGTCCGTGGCCAATGGCGTAGCTGCAGGGGCAAGTATAATACATCAGCTTTCATGCGCAGCAGTGCAGTAAGACCTATCTCACCTTCTTCGCCAAATACCGTGCTCGCAGGAGTAACCGGAGGGACAGAAACTGGCAGAGGGCCAGTATAGTCCCCTTGGTAGAGATATTCGACGAGCCGTTTAATCGTGTCGCTGTGGAAACAACTCCACCAACAATCACCGCCCGCCCCGCAGTGCTCACTCAACAGCTCTCTGTGCACATAAACCTTCGCGAGATCCGTACCTTCCAAGGCTATCGTCTCACTCTCAAGAAAGCTACTTGGCGGGCGCTAGTTAGTATCATACTATTCACGCGACGGTCTCTTTGGCAAGGATGCACCTTATGATTCGCGGTCTTTTGGTGGGTAGAGGGTGGCTCATTATGATATGCGTTTCGTGCGCTAGGGTACCGGAATGCGAAGTTGAGGTTGTCGGGTTTGGTTGGGGTTCTTGATTGTTGTTTATTCTGTGAGCTCTAGCTCGGAGGTGAGGGGAGGATAGGGACAATTAAGTTAGAGGAAATCAAAGATGGGCTGGACAGGTGGCCTAACACGCGGCATTCGATCTCCCGACACTCTTGCCGCAGAGACCCGTGCTCGACTAGGATGCGAGAAGGCGAGAATGTGAGTTTTCACATAATGAGCCGCTTGCCAATCACGGAGAACCCAACCCACAATTAATTGTCTTACACAGGTAGGAGCCGCATTATCGATAAAAACTTGCGGATTTGGGTTGTGGCATAGCGCGTGGGAATGAGTTTCAACCGATAACTTGTATAATACCCTTCTCTTACCAGTGCGAACAGCCGTAGATTGCTATTGATGCTGACACCCGCGTGCTGGTAAACAATTCCCACTATAAGGATAAGTTCAGGGCCGTCGGAAATAAACAATAAGCACCAGCACTGCATTCTGATACGGTAGCCCACCTGTACTGTACATTACAGCACAAGAAATGTGCCAGTACCGTACTGGACTAGTAGTACTGTACAGTACGTATCGAAAGATAACTTGTCGCTTTTTGTTTTGTGTTGGGCAACTTCGCCGAATCATCGCTATACACTATCCCCGGTACGGTAAGCAAACGCTTAACGTGACAAAACAAAGATCAGCCTCTCTACGTCCAGTGTACTGTACGGGTACAGTACTGTACATCAAGACGGGTGACAGCTAATGACTCTTATAACATACCGGTATTACTAGCAGCACCGGAGATATGATACTTGTACAGTACTGTACATACGATGCTACCCTCACTCCCATCACCACTCCGGCAATCCCTCGGCCACCCGATATAAAAAAATGACATTCGGTTGCATCACATCGTACACAGCATCCCGACATCCGCTGTCCGTGCGAAAACCGACTTATAACCTTAACCCCTCGCCCCCCCCCCCTCCTTCCTCGTCCTTCTCAATTCCATCCCACCAGCCACACGACCGCTGATAGAATGTCTCGGAGACAAAAAAAAACCTATAAGCCACGACCAACCCGCCGCCAGCGTGCCATAGCTGCGGCGAAATCCGCTGCCAAAATCCAGGCAGCGATAAGGCTTCATAGAGGCTGCGAGGCTGTGAGTGGAGATCCTGGACATTTTGAACGTGAGGTAGGGGTTGGAAAAGGTTTGTTTGCTTGTTTGTTGTAGGGGTTTTGGTGGGAGGCTCTGCTGACGGGGGCGGTATGGGCTGGAGTAGGGATATTGGGGCAGAAGGATGAGCTCGCAAAGGGACAGAAGAAGGGGGCGGAACTAGAGGGCCAAGGGTTGGATTGCGGGGTCGTGGGTGATGGGGGCGGAGGTGAGGGAGGAGGGAGTGTTCAGTCGAGAACCGACGGTAATAAGCTCAGGGAGAGTCAATATGGGAAAACTGTTAATATCTCTGATGACGGGGGTGGGAAAGTTTGTCCCCTATTATGGCATATCATCCCAAGCACTCCACACTACACCCTAGTCATTCCCCCTACTAACCTCACCAGCCTCAGATTAGCGAGCCCAATAACTTTGTCAAAGAAGTTACAGTTGTCAAGTTCGAGGATGACGGGAGTAGGTCGAAGATTAAGTATGAGTTTGTGAGTTAATTCATTGGTACAGAGGGTATCCATAGCTGGATGGAATTTGGGGGTGGCTAGAGAATAACAACTCATCGGCTATCACTCTACTTGCGTGTTGGTGTCTATCTCATAGCAACCTATCTTGATTTTCTTCACATGAGTGGCTACCCCGCTGCTACTTGAGTAATACAAGCGCTAGCTGCCCCACTCTTCGCGTTCTCTTTTCCCCACTCGATATTTTTCGACGATAGGCGCGGGAGGTCCTGTCCATATTCTTGTGGCGTTTTGTATTGCTGGGGTGTGTTTGGTGCTTACGGGAAAACTGCTCTTCATGTGAATTGGGGGGGGGGGGGGGGAGATGGCTTTCCATGGCGTAAAATACGGTACGTTATGCTTGATGGTCCAATGATATCGATAGCAATAGCGCATAAAATTGAAAACTATAACCCCTCCCGGAACCTTTCTCGCCCATCAAACCCGAATAGGTACTTATATTTGGGCCTGATACATGGTTTCTTGGCTGCCCACGTGAATCTAGTTTGTGTTCGAAAACATGAGAAAATTATGAGTATCAAACCGGTAGTGCAGGAAACTGTCAGCATCAGCTGTACAAAACACTCTTAAGAACATCTATAAACTATTCAAACCGCAACTACTCGTAGTGGAGAACATAATAAGACCCACCCCCGCAAAGAATCAATAAAAAGAAATTATTCAAGTTCTTGATTGCTGTATGATATTACTCAATCAGATCTTCAAACAATCCACCAACATCATGACGGAATAGTACTCTATCTTTCCCCGTTTATCCTCGTGCATTCTATCAAATAGCACCCCCGTCTTCTTGTCGCAAATGCCCCATTATAGTCTACTATTCTCCAAATATTGCTAGCAGTGCCAGATCCATAAACTCTACCTCTCCCTCTACCATCTTTCATATCTTTTATACAAAGAAAATACTACTTTCTTGCCTCTCTGAGAGAAACATTTTTCGCTTCCACTATCAATATCAAATTCTTTTTGATCAGAAGAGTGTAATCCATAACCACAATTTCTTCCACCCCACTGGAAGTAGAATATACCGAAACAATCTCCTTTTCCCTTCAAATGTAGAAGAGCACAAAATCGTTAATATCTGCCTCTTTGAAATCAGGACCCACCGCACTAGGGTATCCCTCAATTTTGAGGTATCCACCTAAGCGCTTCTAGACTTCCCCATTAGCCCTTGATATATAATCCCTTCCCAGCAAAACATCCTTACCTTCCAGCATTTTCTTTACTAAAATCGCACACAATGTCAATTAAACCCCCCCAGCTTCTGGAATCACCATTTTTGAATATGAGGTAATTCACTTGGACTTTCTCTTTTTGACGTCGACGCTCTGGTTACCAATCCTATAAAAGATTTCTGCCGACTGATCAATCACTAATTAGTTTGTGCCCGATAATGCTAGTGACTACTATCTCCTCTGTTCTTATCCTGCACGTTCCTGTACGCGTTGATGCTGTATGGCACCCAAAACATGACTTGCAGGAGAGTGTGGTGGACTTCATATGGACTATGGATCTGCTAGTAGAGGCTGCCGGAGCTGATGGTGTTATTGGTGGAAATCTTGAGGGATGGGGGTCTTGGTGCGATCTTTCTTTTGTTATTTGCTCAAAGGTTACGGAAGAGCAAAGGGTCCCGTAGTGAGCAGGAGATGGTTTTGGAGCCCCATATCTTTCACTAGAATTAGTTCTGCTTTCTCCCAGATATATTGTTAGATAGTGCGAACCTCAAAAACCACAATCCTCTTATCCTTTCATCCGAACAAATCATCTTTTACCCTCATCCGCTAAGTGCACTTAACTCGCTGATGGCACGGCAGCGAGTTAAGTTTCAAGTTAAACATTCGAAATGTTTCTGATGGGGTGTAGGTTTGATCAAGGCCACGAAAGAGGTGGACCCCCCCCCCCACCTTTAATTAGCGTTTCAAACTGCTTATAGACTTGATCTTTAGAAAGCCGCAAGTTACTTTTTCACCCCGCTCTCCTGTTTCAGAAGTTCTTTTATTTCGCATTTGCTTTTGACAGATCTGACCAGGATGAGGATAGATGCTCGAGTGCCCTGGCAAGCTCATCGGTCTGGCCTAGGTGAAGGCTTCACAGATCCGATGAATTGGAGGTCCTAGCTTTGTCATTGCCAGTGTGACATAGAGCTTGGACGGTGGAGAAGGAGCTGACTTTGTCGGCCACGAATACCGGCAAGCTAAGCTTTAGTATCTAACATACTGTACCGGCAGATGACGGAACAGTTGAGGCTCTGTTCCAGACGAAACCACAAGCCAATCGACACCCCCTTCCCGCATGATAGGTGGGATATCGAGTCAGCGTGCCTCGCTGTACTGCTGCGAGGTCAATGCTAGCTCGGCGGTAGTTAGCCGAATTTATTGATTGAACCCTCACCCGGACGGTTAAAACTGAACAGGAAACTTCATGTAGTGAACTTGGTAAACTTGATAAAGTATTGCAAGTGGAGAGATCAGCGGATGATTTGCTCATGAGAAAATCAACCAATCAGCACCTTCGTGAGTGGGGAGGATGTCCGCACGGCTTGTGGTTCAGTCTATTATTATCATTACCACAAAGATAAGATGTCGTAGAATTCTCTATTAGATTGCGTGTGCCCTCCATAATAAACGCCAACACAGAGGGCAATGATTTCAGTGGCAAGTTATCCGTGGATATCTGCACGCCAACGCTTGACTAATTTCAGACGCAAATGTTTGGCTTGACAGGTTAAAGGGGTCGCAAATACCGGTTAACAAGACGCAGCACTCCCGGAGGGCTCGGAAAATACCGTGTCGGGTGGCACTGATCATTGTGGGGAGGTTTTGTCTCGAAGCATGGGGAATGGAGGCTTGCAAGGAAATGGCGGATTAAAAGAGATTTTACCATACCGGTATTCACTCCCCAACCGATATAAAATACCGTTAACGATAAAACCTCCTTCCTGGTCTACTCGAGTAAAATTGGCTCCCTTGCGGCGATATCTCAAGAGGTATGGCATCACTACCCTATCTACGCCTGAGTTTCATTACCATAACCGCGGCTCCTTAAGCGAGCAAGTCCTAGCTCCTTTGTTTTCGCACCCCCATCTTTCTCCCTATGTTTGATGTTTATCGCTGTCCCAAAAAGTAGGGCACCGTACTCGAGTAGAATCTGGTTTTATTTTGTCTCGGATATCGCGAGCACGATCCTGAAGAAAAGTTTCCCCAAGGTTCTTCCTCTCCCTTAAAGGGCGCAAAATGGGCTACTTATTTGAGTCTCATTTCCAGTTTTGACACACATCTGAGGAACTAAGGACCCTGTACCTCGCTGGCTTGGAGCCATATTAATTCCTCACCGGTCTCCTCAGCGGGGTTTGAATTTCGATAGTGGCATTACGTGGGATAGGGAATCGCACTCGCTTTCCAGGCAGAGTATTTGACACGGGTATCGTTCTCAGAGAGGTGCGTCATTCCTAAAGGCTATAAAAGCGAACTGGTATCGACAGCCCAAGTGATCCCACACCAGCGCCTTATACAGTAAGCATGGTTTGCGACGGACCTGAATTTGTCGCAAGGACGATGTTCACTGAAGGTTTTAAGATTTGCCATAGCGTTGATCATTCATGAAACTCCATTGTCCCACGTGGGATATCCAGGGGGAGTGCATTGACTAGTTAGATAGGCGCTGGCCCAAACTTATGCCTACTCCCGAAAATTACCGAAAATAGGCAGGAGAGGGCATGTAAGACTTGGTGATACGATTGATTGGATGGGATTCTTGAGATGTGGTACTGGTATTCGGAGGTACCGTGATTACGGTGGTTGTAATGCCCATAATGTGGGGATTGCCGGTGTACTCGAGTAGTGGCAGAGGAAAAGAAGGCATCATATCATATGTCGCAAGTACCAATTCGGGCGTATAGTGGGGCATAGGCGTGGAGAGAAAGGTTAAGCGCGAGGGATAATTCCGGTGGGTATCCTCTCCGGGTATCAGGGTGATGGCCCAAATACGTGGTTAACCTCTCGTCTACTCGCAGGTTGGGTCTTGTCCACACGGGTGTCATGTTCCCTCCAGTCGCATTGATGCCCCTCTTCAGTCATCGTTTCTTGACAAATCTCCACCTATTTTGCAGATATATGGCGAAGTACCACCTCCCCGTATCGGAAACCTTTGCACACAAGCTCAGTGTCCCAAAGGTCGCCCTCCGAGCCCACCCTTGAAGCGCCGAAACCCGTTTGAAGTTTGTGCTCCCCATCATGCTCTTGCCCTCGTGCCAAGTCCTATCAAATACATTTCTCCGCCAGCCAGCCGGCCAGTATAGGAATAGGGCTTCCCCCCGGGACCTAGTCAACTAACTCGCCTATCCCCTATCACTCCGACGCCGGTCGTTACCGTATCTCACTCGTTCAGTATTTTACCTTTTCTCAAACTCACGACTAGGCTTCAGCGTAACTATCATCATCATCACGCATGCAGATCTTTAGCTCATTCTAAAGGAGTTTATACTCATGCTCACACGAACCCTTCTGGCAATATACTTTCTCGCCACTAGCCTTGCTGCTGCGCAATGTCCCTTCAAGGAGGGATCGGAAATCTCGGATAAAACGATAGCAGCATTCTTTGACGAAAGTGATAGCAGGAGTTGTGGGGCGAGAGAAGAGGACTGTATAAGACGTATCCAGAGCTGCGTTTCTGGGCCGAATGATAAATTGTTAAGGTTATTAGAGGATGAAAAACGAAAGTTTGAAAAACGAAGGTTTTGCGGGGGAAGGCGGCGCCGTCGTTGTGAGGCGGGTGGCGGCGGTGAAGTTGGGAATAGTGATGGTAGTGGTGGTAGTGATGATGGTGGGGGATGGGGGAGTGGGAATAGGAGTAAGAACGGGGACGGGGATGGGGATGGGGACGGGGATGGGGATGGGGATGGGGATGGGGATGGGGATGGGGATGGGGATGGGGATGGGGATGGGGATGGGGATGGGGATGGGGATGGGGATGGGGATGGGGACGGCAATAGTAGTCAGAACGCACCGCTACCCGCTCAATCCAGCTCAGTTTCACCAGGAACACTAGAAACACCGGCCCCCTCACAGAACCCAAGACCCCTTCCGACGACGGCACAAACGCAGGCCCGTGCATCAGATCCAACTTCTACGAATGCCCCGACATCCTTTCCGTCTAGTTTACCCCGAACCCAAACCAGCTCCCTCGGACAAACCTTCCCCGACACCCTCACCCCCGCCCCGCAGTCCTCCGAGGCAGCACCTACTCTAACCTCAACTAAAACCAAATTCTCAACCTTGCAATCAACCACAATTATTTCCTCCCCAACCCCCAGTGCACCCAAAAATGACAACGGCGAGAAGAAGCAATCATCTCCAATGGGGGATAAAGACTGGCGCGGTGATGGCAACAACGACAGTTTCACCAAGAACGTGGCCCCTTGGTTCCATAACGTAACGGCAGACTACTACGACGCGCAATGGTTTCTTTTCTGCTCGAACAAAGCCAAAGACACAATCAAATTGGCAGACAGGAAACCCCCGTCAGGGCGCTGCCAAAAGTGCAAGCCCAGAAAGTGCAGGTCCTTTAAAACCTATGGGTGGTCGCGAAACAACAGGCGCGCACCCAGTAAAGGCGGGGAGGGGTGTTTCGGGTGCCGGTGGAGGCTCTTTGTGGATTTTCCGAGCGAGTACGGGGACTTGTTGGGGGAGTTGGAGAAGGTTGCTAACGGGACAGAGGAGAAAACGAGAGGGCTGAAGTTTCGGAATAGGGACCAGCGGAATGTCGCCCCCGGGAATGGAGATTTGGGGGGGGTTATCGGGATCTTGGGCGCGGCTCTGGGGGTCGGAGGTGTGATTTTGTGGATTTGAAGGGTGTGGGTGGACTGTATATTTTTACGACAAAGTCACGAGACGAAAACCGTGGGCGAAAGGAGATCTCCCCTTGTGGGGGAGACTACAGTGCGACTATATATGGGAGGGGGGGGATATCATGTTATTGGTGTTGGGATGGGGAACTCATTCAAGAGACCTGTTTCGCCAATAATTTTTGTCTGGTCACTGGCTGTACTAGTGATGATTTGGGTGAGGTGGGAGATCTAGATTCTTGACCGGATATCATACGTGTACAAGCGATTTGCATATTGTGTATTCCACTGCGGGGCTTATAATAGTTAATTTAATGATGTATGATAGAATTACCCGCTTTTTATATTAGCAAACCCCCGCGGAGAATAATAATCACTTCCCGTGACGCAGTACCGGTATATTTTGAAGATCCCGCCCCCAAAAGTCCGGAGTATTGGGGTGCTTATCATACTTAATAAACTACACCGGCATAATATAATACGGGACAAACGGCCGTTTTTGCACTTTTACTGTTCGCAGAAAGATAACATCCATCACTGATAGGTATGATAGCACTTAATTTGCGCAATCGGGTTCCTCCTCAATGATAGCTTTGCGGGTGTACACCATATTAACTCTGTTTGGAGATCCGGCTATGGTATTATACAATTTGCGTTTGTTAGGCTAGATGGGTTTAGGGTTTAGGGGAAAACCCGGGTGGTGCTTAACATCTGCGTTTCCTGCCTATTAAATTTAGTTGGCTTTATGTCTTGCGTCATATCATACTTATAGCACAGCGAATGAAAGCTCTTCTCAGCGCGCTGTAGATAAGATTGACGGCGGGTAGTGCTTAATAGAAGCGTCTGGTGACGTCGCGCTGTGGGATTGTAAGTGCATGGCTGCGGCGGTATCAAAGTACCTTCAATTAATTGCGGTACAGGTATGGTAGTGTGCAAGAAGACATTCTGTTTTTTATATGATATCATAGATGACAATAAGTTACATTAACCATTCACCCCCCACAAAATTCCAAACATACCCACCAACCATCATGCACACAGCCCAACTGAACCGACCCAGAATACTCGAGTACATGATGGCAATAACCATCAACCTCAACCCAAGAAGCCACTCATAATCCCCCCCCTCCTAACCTGAGACTAGAAAGTTCTAAAAAAGGCCCATCCCCCAACCACACCCAACACAAACATAAGCCGATATCCGATTATAGAATCACCCCAAATCACTCGTGTGCCGGTGGACTTATTTCCTGTTTTACCCCCATTACCAGCAGTTCCTGACCCAGGGGGGCCAGTGAGCGAACCATCTCCTCCAGAACACCCTCCCTCGTCAGCGTACCCCACGCATCTGTAGTTCCCATTAATAAGCATTGCAGTCGCGAGAAAGGATAGGGGAAAGAAAAAACAGGAAAAGTAAAAAAAAAAAAAAGACTAAAATTAGGCTTCGGAAAAGAATAAATAGGTTGTACGTACACTTCCTCAAGTAATGGCCTCCCAAACGGTTCCAGGGAATTTTCGAAATCTTGGAATGTTTCTGCTTTCCTGAGATTCGTTAATAACGGTGGTTCCCTAGGGAGGGGTTAGTGGGTACCAGTCCACAGTGGAATTCGTCGCAGCTCGATTCCCCGTGAAAACGAGGTACAAAACATCAGTATCAGGGTGCCCGCTATTCCCTGTCATACCCTGGCCAAAGCAAGCGGTTGCCAGCGAAATACTCGCTTCGCCGACAAGCGTACCACCGTTCGTATCGCCCCAGACAGCATAGAACTAGGCCGCATCCCGCACCTCAGCCCGAGTCCCGATCCCTTCATTCCAAGTTAACCAGAGAGGAGAAACGCAAACATACAAACTGTCCCGCACAAACCACCACCACGACACCCAACTCCGGCACTCCGTACTGCGTCGGATCGAACGAGGTCGAGTACTTCTGGTTCCCGAACACGATGTAGGAATGCTTATTAGAGTCCAGGTCATCTAACCCGTACTTCGCCACCCCATCTTTAAAGGCGGTCTGGCCCTGCCCCGTTGGGTCGTTCACGCATTTTCCGTCGGAGCGGTTGGCGCCGTCGCAGTCGACGTCCATATCCGCGAGGGATTTGGGACCGGCGAGCCAGAGGAATCTGCGGGAGGGGGTTGTGCAGTACTTTGCCGATCTGGCCTGGTTTTCGGAGAATTGGAAACCGGATTTTAGTTGTACTGGGCACTTTCCGCCCTGTTAAGAATCCCCGTTTTAGTCCGTCTGATCGATTGGGGGATATGGGTGTGTGTGCGGGAATTGCAGATGCGAACTTTATACTCATCGAGGAAGGACTGAAGATTTTGTGGGATTTTTCTGGCGAGGACAGTGTCCGCGAGGGACAGAATGAGCGGGAGGAGTGCCACAAGCTTCATTATGTAGCAGTAGTGAGAACTTTGGTCTACTCTATCGAGTCTACTTCAGTAGTCCAACAAATAAACGAATGAATGAAGTAAGGATAAAAGCTTTATGTGCAAGCTAGTCAATAATACTTGCGCTACCCCCAACCTATGTTTATATATGACTACCCCAGACAGTAACTATTCCTCAGGATACTTCAGCCCTGCCCGGACCCAAAACGACACACACCTGACTAGGTAGTGCACTATATCGATGAACTGGTACACTATCTGTGATGTTTCTGCAGCCCCCGATTGGAAATAGGGACTTGCTAGTACCGGTAGTTACCGCAAGATGATACTCAGTAGAGGCCCGAAGTTTTGTCACTCGCTCGTCCTGAGGTACTTGCGCTGTTGTCGTTGTGATTGGGAACATGCGGTACCGATCGAGCCTCAGCCTTCTGGGAAAAATGGGCCAAAGGGTGAGGCTGAAAAGCTTCTTGTGCCAAGAAATTGAATGTCACACAGGCATATTCTGGTGTCCCTTGTCGGGTAAATGTACGATGCCGTTCTTGCGCCTCGATCTCGATAATTGACATTGCGCGGCCACTTGCACTTTGCACTTGTGCGAGGACCCCCGTGCAACTACACATGGGACGGAAATCCTCGGTATAGACATTCCCGATGTACACTGGCTCGCTTCGCCGTGGGTCACTGTGATCAACGGACAGCAGCAGATCAGACCCTATGATTAGCCCTAGAACTAAAAGGATCGCTGCGATCTCCCTCCTATCATACCCATAATAATAATTATTATGTCGATACGCTGTACGCTGCGCTTACCAAAACTGCCGTGGTATTTGTGTACGAATACAGTACAAAAGTCCAATGGCTAAAAGGGAGGCGGCAACCGTCAAAGTTAGCAACGAACGGTAATAGTATTCAACAATACACATAGAATTATCGCCTCGTACCTTTGGGATGATAACTCCATCCACCAGGTGAATGAAGAGATGGTATGATATGGCTGACTAGAGGGGGGGGGTTGTTCACCGCTTGAAAGAAAAGAAAAGACCACTCCAGTACCTGGAAATACTCGTGCCCGCAAAGTTCTCGTAACACGTGATGTATCGCAAAGTCTTGGTAGTCGTCAACAGGGGGGTCGCGGAAGCTACTCAATGGTGGGAAAAATGTGAATGTCCTCTATGGAATCTGCCATTACTAAATTGAGAAATATTCCTCGAAAAAGAGTCGTGTATTGTAAATGGCCGTGTTTGCTAGCGTCCTTTTCGGGTACTGGCAGTAAGGAAATCCAATGACCTTAGATGCAACTGGGCACAATCCTCCTGTACAGTATGTGGGAAGTGGTTGCTGTTAGGATCTCTAAGGGGATGAGTTCTCACCTATCCTCAGCCTTCTCCACACAATGGAAAAACAAGCTCGGATAAGCCTGCAGAAAGGAGAACGAGGGCTATTTTCGATGGTAGAGATGGAAACTTGATAAGTTCAAAGGATCACTGGTACGAGTGCAGAAATCCTTGTAAACATAGAGACTTCATTCTCCTGCCCCGCGGTGTTCTCTTCTTCGTTTTCCCCCTTTTCTCGGTTATCTCTAAACTATATGAAAGGGGTATTCCCCTTACCCATAGTGCTCCTGATGCCGATGACGAAACTTCCTCGCTAAATATTATGTAGAAACACGTACTGTAACCCCATGCTGTGCCCATATTCTCCCCTAACAGTATGTCCTGATATTCTTGGGCAGGAGTTTGTGGGGTACCTGAGGTGTTTTGGGAACTTTGAGGATGCGAGTGTACTTGTCCCAGACAAGTAACATACCGGTACTGGTATTCGAAGACGGGGGTCCGCAAAATATACCGTAAAAAGTCCGTGCATGTATGAGCGCCCAGACAAAATCACGACTCGCATCCTCAAATACCTCTTGCCTAGGAAAGGTAACTATCCCTGGGTCCGTAACTGCCCCCAAGAGATCGGTGGAATAAGACCCCAGTTTGTAGCCCCAGTACTTGCGATTTATTGCCAAATAAAGATGCTTTCCGTGGCCCGCCGTTCCTGTAAACCAGATATTTTGGGCGCAGCACCCAATGGACTAGGCTAAGTAACTTAATAGCGGTGTTGTGCAGAAAAGAAATATAGCAATTAGGCTTGATAGCGCCAGCCAGAAACTTTGTCCCAACTAGAGGAAGACGGTTGGGGTATCTCGGAGGCGGAGCGGGTATCGTCGTTCTCGGTATGTTTGGGATTTTCGAAACTATCCTGAAATCCGGCGGAGAGTCCCGCGACACAAACAACCTCCCTAAGTTATTCACTATACTAGGCCACACTGCAGAAGGTAGAGCGTGTGAAAACGGTGTCAAAACCCACCAAGGCATTCTCCGAGGTTCTATCATATCTTATTTTTTTTCTTTCTATCCCTTAATCCTATTGATACCGTTGAATTGGTATCGCAGAGTTGATAGACCCCGAGAGAAGCCAAACTTCCAGATGCCTCCGAGAACTTCAGGCAGACTCCCGTCCCGTCTGCTATGAAAACTTAACCTGGGAACGGCTAAACGAATGGGGGCCGATCTCTGCAGACCAGTTACGCCAGCCAAATCTCCAGGATCAAATTATCATACCTGTGCCTAGGTAAGACTGGAAAACTGTTCCTGAACACAGTGAAGGGATAATTCGAGTGATCAGGTATGATATAATTAAGTGGAAGCAATATCCCTTTGATCAGGACTGTGCCATGGAGACTAACAAAGGTTGAAAGTCCGGAAGGGCTAGCAGGATAGGGAGAAACGGACAAAATGTGTGGAAGGGGAAGAGCATCGTACCCATTGGATAGGCGAGCAAATAATAAACGCAGGAAAAGCAAACGTAGGAACGGAGGAAACAGATGAGGGTAGTAAACACCCACCGCAACGGTACCGAGCATAGGTTCCAGACATGATTGGGAGTGTAATATATTTTCCATTGTGCAATAAAAATGTCTCAATTCTTGACCCATTGCAGTGATAAACCACTTCTATAATCCGTAACTGCTAGATCACAGCAAGTCAGGATTCATAATCAACACTTGGGTGAACACTGCGAATATGACACCTTGCCTACAGCAGAGAATACTTATCATGCTCGAACATTGTATATGCTCCGATTTTTATCCGCAAAGACCATTTTTATCTAACAATCCAGTGACCTTAAAATATAAACTGAAGTATTTCTCCCAGAACTCAATCTCCCCACAATTTCTCCCTAAAGAACTTAGCCTACCCAGGCTTTGCTATAATTCCAGAAAAGCGTTACCAAGGCGTCAACTGTATCCAGGAACGACTCCGATCGAGAGAGAAATAGGAAAGAGAATATCTTTTGAAGAAAGGGAAAAAGGCTTTAATTAGCCCCCAAACCTTGAATTCCTTCCAAGACCTCAAATTAACCTGCCTTGATACACCGTACCCTACCCTACTCTAACCATCACTGACCGGCCTTCGAACATCCCCAATGACAACAATACCATACCCACCCCCAAGCCCGAAGGCCACCGCGACCCAATGGGTGGAACAAGCACGGGCAATACCAGCACTGGCACTGGTGAGCAATGGCGGTGCGAGAATCGGAGCGAGAAGAATCGTTATGACTAAGGATTGCTGGCTCAGGCTAAAGTCCCTGAGGACCATTTTCATGAGGATGGAGACGTGGAAGGGCACCACGACATAGTTACTGGTTTTGTGGCTTCCTTATGATAGTGGACTCGGGGCACGGAAGGTGAGGAAGGGAGAGAAAGAAAAGTGGAAGTGGGATATATCTTAACCAGGTGAGCATACTCCTCCGCCCAGTTGGCACTGACAGGGTGTTTATCCGAGATGGGGGGTGCAGCTCTCCACATATAATACTGTGGGAGCCGCATCTCAAGAATCCACAATCCAATCAAGTATGTCAGCAATTTTCCTTTTTTTTTATTAGAGTATCATATCACAATTCTCGAAATATTGTCAGAATCTAAATAAGCAGTGTTCGAGTGATATCAAGTGAACCGCCCTATAATACATTGTGCATCACTGCTTGCTACTTTCACGTACTGTACAGTACCGCCTTAACTTACACTCTTCCCGCGTTATACCGACTTCTTCAGAAAGTAAGTATTTTATGCTTCTCTCTTAGAGCGGCCCCAACAGTTGATTTGGAAGAATACAAACCAAACAGGTAATACCGAGCTGTTCAGCGCAGCATCTACCAGCAGGCCTGGAGCATCTCCCGACACTCCAGTTTAGGACTCATGGAACATCAACCTTTAGTGTGTATTACTATAATGCTTGCATCGGGTAACTTTATTACAACGTAACTGTCTCATCAAGTCTCTTCTCTATACAAGAGAGCTGGCCAACCATCCGCTGGGTAAGCATAGAGGGGAATGGTCACCAAATGCAATCGTGGGCAACCATAGCTCTTATAGCACACTCGCGCGTGATACCGATACTTGTTTGCCGCACGGACATGCCCCAATGAACTGAACTCCACACTGTAGTACTGTATTGACCAACATCGCTATTGCTTGAGAACTGCCGCCGCAGGCACTCAATATTTGCGCACTCGGGCGTTTCATCGTGTGCCAAGCAACTTATCCAACCAGGCACCCTGCTGTGCACCAATTCCGAGTATCCTTGCCACTCACCTCTCCGCGAAATTGCCACCAACTCCGGTACTTGTAACCTGCGGGATCGCAATCACCCCGCATCAAACTCTCGTCAGTATCCGAGCTCACCTGGAGCAGGAAATTTTACAGACCGAGCACCCCCGAAAGAATTCACATGCAACTGAAATTCGACCTACAGTAGGTAACGGTCCCGATTCTGAATCCCATCGATCACCAGAACATCCTATTCCTAGGCTTTGGGCTGACAAGATTGAGGACCGCCGAGCAACAGAAAAAGACCAAAAGCTAGGAAACCGTCGAATGTGCTTGCAAAAGGCAGAAAGGGAGATGAGTATCTCTCCAAGATGAATACCCCAGTAAACACCTTGAAATCTGGAGGAGACCTTGGTTAAAAAATAAGGACTCCCTGGGAAAACGTAGCTCTTCCCAAAATCACTAGGGCAAATGCATACCGCCGTTGCAGGCATGCGTGAGTTGCAGCAAGCAACATCTCATTTCCCCGGGATAAACTCCCATGACAGGTTCGAGGAGAGCCCAGCTATCCCCTTGCTGTCCAGAAATTGGGGTCCCGGAGTAGACCAAAATCTACATTAATTGCGAGGTTTACCCCGGACTACCAAATTTTATTTATAAATTTACCCACCTCAAATTTCAGCCAAAAGGCAAAGGTTGGAGCTTGATGAGGATTTGGGAGAGAAAGCGGGAGATGCTATCCCAAACCCTGAAAACAGAGCTGAGGACAGATAATATGGTAACGCCAGCTACCACACGCTACCACTACCCGGTATATTCGATCCGACCTACATATTCAAATATCGAACAATTAGGCACTACACCGAGTCTCTAGGCGTCATGGACTGCCACCCCATAAAGCAGGGCGTCGCAAATTTGGAACCCCCAGATTCTTAAGTTACGGAAGGA